ATATTAATTTTATACATGTGAGATTTTTGCCTCATGCAAGTGTATCACCTGCATACAGTGCCTATGGAGGCTAGAAGAGGGCTTCAGATAACCTGGAACTGGAGTTACAGATGGTTGTGAGCTGCCATATGGGTTCTGGAAACCAAACCCAGACCGCCAATTAGGACCAGCAAGTGTTCTTCATTTTACAGCCATCTCTTAAGCCCCTTAAATAAACTTTTACTCTTGGGCGTAAGTATATATGTAAAATGCATGTGTGCATATTTGTATGTGAATGCACATATGCATGTGGGTATATGGAAACCAGAGACTGGCATCAGGTGTTGTTTTCCATTGCTCACTTTTAGAATTTGTTTTTTTTATTTATTTTGAATTATATGTACATGTGTATGTGCCTTCTTGTCTTATGTGCACCATGTGCATGCTGTGCCTGAAGAGGACAGAAGTGGGCATCAGATCTCCTGGAACTGCTGTTACATGTAGTTGTGAAGAGCTCAAGTGCATGTTAGGAGCCAAACCCGGGTCCTCTGTAAGAGCAGCACGTTCTCTTAACCACTGAGCAATTTTTTCAGCCACTTCACCTTGTTTTTTGAGACAAGGACTCTAACTAAATCTGCAGTTCACTGATTGGATAGACAGGATGTCCAACTAGCTCCAGGGGTCTACCCATGTCACTCCCACCATCACTCCACCCTTTCCTCTACCAGAGTTACAGATCTACACGACCACAGCCAGCTTTTATGTGGGTACTGGAAATCCAAACTCAGGTCCTCATGCTTGTGTGACAGGTACATTACCAACTGAGCCGTGTCCCCAGCCCTCTTGCGACTTTACTCTTTTTAAGTTAATTTATTCCAGACATTTGTTATAGCAATGTAAAGCTAACACGTGGTAAGAGAAGAATTACTCCATTATCATATCAGAAGGCCAACCAATTGATAACTAAAATTAACAAGTTAAGAAGTAACAATTTTAAGTTATCTGTTTGATAAAGGACTGTGTTCAGACTAGACAAGGAGATATTCCAACTCAATAATTAAAAGATTATCAATCTAATTTTAAAATCAGCAAAATTTTTGGGTACACACTTCTCTGAAGATATATAAGTGGTCAAAAAAATACGAAAAGCTGATGAATATTATTAGCCATTAGGAAAATTCAAATCAAAACCTTTATGAGATGTTACTTTTTCTCAACTAATATTGCTGCAACAAAAATAGTAAGTGTTTGCAAAGATATTGGAAAAATTAAAATCCTAATGCGCTGCTAGTAGGATTGTGTAGTGTCAAAGTTATTTTAGAAAACCGTTTGGCAGATATTTAAGATTTATATCAAGCTAGTATACAATTTAACAATTAAACTCCTAAGAATATACCCAAGAAAACTAAAAACACATTTAGAAAGAAAACTTTACACAGATGTTTAGTGATGATAGATGCTGTAACATGGATGAACCTTGAAAACATTATGGCAAGTTAAAGAAGCCCAGTACAGTAGGCCACATGTGGATGATTCTATTTATGCAGATGGACAAATCCACAGAGACAGAAAAAGGATCATTGTTTACAAGATGCTAGGCACATGGTGGACTAAGTACAGTGTCAGTGAGTATAGGGTTTCTTTTTAGGGTGAGAGAAGAAAATAGGTAACTTAGAACTGGGCAATGTGATGGCTTCACGACTCTGCTAATATGTTTTAAAAAACTACTGAATTGGGCACTTAAATTGGTAATTTTTAATGATCTGTGAATTATGTTTCACTAAAGCTTTTAAAATATTAACATATGCTCATAATCTAAAGATATGACAACAGATACCAGAAACTAAACATAGTTACAGGACTGGGAATATGAAATGGCAAGGCAGTCCACAGTGTTTATTAATAATAAACTCTTTTGCACTATTGGGTTTTTAAATTTTAGTGTAGGGGCCTGGAGAGATGGCTCAGAGGTTGAGAGCACTGGCTGTTGCAGAAGACCTGGGTTCGAATCCCAGCATCCACTTGACAGCTAACAACTGTCCCTAACACCAGTTCCGGGGATCCAATGCCTTCTTCTGTCCTCCACAGGGACTGCATGGGACACTGATGCACTTATATACATGCAGGAAATACACACATACACATAAAAAATAAAAATAAATAAAATATTTTTAAAATTTAGTGTAGGTATCCATTTTATTTAAAATCAAAATGAAGGCGGATAAGATGCCTCAGCAGGTAAAGGTCTGCTGCCAAGCCTGATGACCTGAGTTTGATTCTTGGGATCCACATGGTGGAAGGAGAGAACTGATTCCCAAAAGTTTTCCTCTGACCTCCACAAGTTTACTGAGGTATACACATCTACACGCCCATCTATACCTACACACAGACACACAGACACACACACACACACACACACACACACACACACGCACACACACACGCAAAACACATGGCGCTCATTTTTAT